TGAGTCACAGGGCCACATTTAGCATTTGGCTGGTTAATTTTTGAGCCAGCTTCCACCCTGGCTCTTTGATGGTTAGTTGGGTGATAGAGTCTCAGGGATTTGTCTGCCTGGGCTGGCTTTCAACTGCAATCTTTGCCACAAAAACCCTTTTTCATTTCCAATTAATGCAACAAGGAGATCAGTGAGAACAAGTAGAGTTTATGTGCACCCTACCAAGAATTAATCAACAAATACTTGCCAGAACTCTGCAATGACAAAATTCAATAGATGGGATGAGAGTTTGAGCATACCTTGTATGCCTGGAACTAAATAACTGATAACTGATAACTAAATTGTATGAGAGGCTCTCCTGGACTATACATGTTTCAATAGTATAACAACATAGCTGGCCTTTTCATATCAGGATGAGTAAGGTTTAAAGAGAGTGTCCACAAGAGTCTTAGTGTTTGTAAATCTAAATCAGTCTTTTACCAAGAATCAGCTGTGTGTGATGGAGTCAGGCAGGAGTCCAGTGTACCATGGTGGAGGTAGGATGGTCCAGGCAGGATCTGGGCAAGATTGCCTCCCTTGGATGAATTGTCAAAACTCCTGGTTAGTTACTTACAAAATTATACACAGACGTTAAAGAAACGACTTTAGATGGACATAGAGAATGACATGCTAGTTTTAATGTTAAATCACAGCCAACAATTACTTACCAACTTTACTCACAAGCTGTCTTTTAAGGCATACTCATACCATCTCTTATACTCGAACTTTCTGGGGACAGAAACAGATATGTGCAACAAACATTTTAAGACAATTCTTACCTCCTTACTGGTTTGTTTTTCATCACAGCTGGCTAGGAGCTGAGCTGGGTCTCATGCCTTTTACTACTATCCTTGAAAAAAACGTTTTCTTTTAACAAACAGCACATTTGATAGTAAATATCACTATCAAGACATAGAAGAAGATAACTTGTTACACACTTTTTATAATGAGATTATGTTGAACATGTTTTCACACACACACATTTAAACTAAAGTTCTAAGATGCACTTGGGTTTTTAAAAAATGAAAATCGGCAGTATATTTTTTTGGAATTCCAGTGACAAAGTGATATTTTTCCCAATATGATAAAACCACGTGGTCAATGTAAGAATAGTAGGCAATACCAAACAAAATGCAAGGCAAATTTTGACAAACAGAATTTCAACCCTTAAACCAACATTGATAACAAGAGCAGAAAACCTTTAAATCAATTTTGGGGATGAGGTGGATTAGTATATGAATTAAATATTTTAACCCTTAGAAGAGTGAAGAGGAGAGGGGAGTAAGGTTGGTGGAAGAATGGGGGATGTAGAAAAACCCATCATGTGGTCTTAGTACCCCCAGATAGAGTGTCTTGTACATCTCATTGCTACAATGGGTCAACCTGTACTTTTTCCTTGTATCTTAAATGAAGAAATGCTGGCTTCATTTATGTTGATTCTACTTGTGTAGACACACCTAAAATCACTCACCAAGTCCAAAAGCACACAAATGAAATGCATCTTTTGTCCGTTGGTATAATTGTATTTTACACATTTATTGACAGGTTACAAATTATTCTCAAATTTTAATACATTACAAATACTTTTTCTTATTTTCGTGGCCAGGAAATGCAAGACCTCAGTCAGCAATTCTCACTTTAGACTTATCAAATGGGTTGGTTAAATGTTGACCTGAGCTTCAGTCTTCTGTGGACTCACTCATTACTTATGAATTGATGCTAGCTGTTGGAAAAGAGCTCAAGGAAAGATGCCGTATAACTTTATTCTTTACCAGGGTATTCTCCTGCTTTTTTGGTTGTTGAGAGTGTCTACAAGAGCAAACATTCTGTGGGGAGCAAGGAGACACCATATGACCTATACTTACTGAGATTTCTGGGTGATTTGCTATCACTTGTACTGTATTTGCAAGTCGAATCTGTCAAAACCTACCAGTTATAAGAGATAAGAGAAGTGCTAAAATAAGTCTTAGAGACAAATATATCTTCAACATATTTGGTTCCAAGCATTCCGTCTAGGGCATATTCAACAAGTAGTGAAACTTGTGTTGGCTGTATCTATGCGTCTTTCTCCATGTGTACATGTATACATGTGCATATATATATATGTGTGTATTTGTATGTAGAGCAATATACATGTGTACATATATAAGGGCATATACACACATATATTCATATATAAATAAATATATATGTGCATATATTTATATATATATCAGGTGTTCAGTGATTTAATCTAGACTTCCCAGCACATTGTCATTCTCACAAAGTGTACATGATAAACTGCTCTGAGGATCTGTGCTCACTTCCCCCACTTCCTTGTTTTTCATCCCTGTGAACAACTTTAGCCTACTTTCCATAGGAGAGCTTTGTTTTTGTTACTTACTGATATTAAAAGAAAAAGGTTGCTTGTAAAAGGAAAAGATCTTTTAGGACGCAGGTTTAAAGTATTTTATCCATCCCAATGGTTCCTATGAGGAAAATTTGTAATAGTACTAAAAGTGAAAAGGAATTCCTAGATCTGTTGTTTTGCCATTTAGAATGGCAAAGAATAATATCACGTCACTCTTATAACTCTTAAAGAATGCAAGGGTAACTGATCGTCCCTATCATGTTCCCAAAATCCCAGTGGTTCCTGAAGGACAATAGTAGCTCAGCAGAAATTCTAAGTAGCAGACATGGAGCATGAAAGAGAAAGAGAGGAAATAGAGAATGAAGGAGAAATATCATAATACTGAAAGTGCATAACAGATAAACAAGAGCTGTATGAGAATATTCATACTGCTATCTTTAGACTCTACATGTACATTTGAAGGTATTTGATGTATGATAACCCATCAACACCACATTCCTCAGCACCACATAAGCAGAAAATGATGGAAGTGGTGCTGTGGCTCAAGTGGTAGCAATAGCCCTGAGATGAAGAGCTGAGGAGCAGTACACAGGACCCAGAGTTCAAGCCCCACAAGCAACAGACACAAAACCAAAACACTAAACACAAAACCGTCTCTCAATTTTGTGGCCTCAACTCTGTAAAACCACTGTTTCAGCCTAGGGCTAAGATTTATGTGTGGACATTTATCAACACGCCTGATTCAAATTCTACTTGAGAATATTTTAGTCAATATTTTGTTCTTAATTTTGCTCTTTGTAAATTCACATGCACCTATAAAAATGGTGTGGCCATCCCAGTAACATTCTCAAAGTACCTCGTAATGATGCCTTATAAAAAGTTGTATTATATTACAACAAGGAAAACAACGCTGCAAATAAAGAAAACCAATAATTAAATATTAATGATTAATAAAATAAAAACCAAATACCATTGTTTCCAGTATTTGAAGTGTACTACATATTAGATTTTACTATTTTCTCATATTCCTGTACATTTAAAACTGGCTAAGATTATGATGTTCAACAAGAGTTTTATAGGCTATGAGTAGTCTTTAAATTTACCCTCTAAGATTACTATTTATGTCTCATCTTATCATCTGTATATGGTTTATATAATCATTTTTGTTCCTCGCTGACATATAAAGTAAGGAAGCCCTAAAGTTTTTACAGAAACTGTGTAGTTAACAAAGTCTTAACTCTTCACTGTTTCTTCATACAAAGACTTTGCAACTTCTCATTAGTAAAGTTTCTGTAAACTCTGAAATGTACATACTTAGTTGTATATGTCTGCTACCATAAATCTTAAATACTTTATAGAAAAGTTATATGACCTACCAAACAATCTTAATTTTGGCATATAAGCAAATTCCCAAAATTAAACATATTTAAAACATTAAAACTTAAAAAAAAACTTAACACTTGCTGCAGTGTTCATTATGATAGGTGCCTTGTATAGAATAATTGAATTTCTCCTCCTACACATCTGTTGAACAACAAATACCTGGAATTATTTTGTTTTAACATATCTTGAAGTTAGTCTTAAATGTGTGCTTATGTAAGAAATACATGGTTCTAAAATTTCACGACAAATCTTTTGAACTTACTTTTTGTTGAATTGTCTAGTTTAAGAAAATCAATTCCACTTTATATATAAAAAATGTTCTGTGCTCAATTCAACAGCACATACACTAAAATTGGAACAATACAGAGAAGATTAGCATGGTCCCTGTACAAGTGTGACACGCAAATTTGTGAAGCGCTCCACATTTTTACAATAACAGATGCTGGAGGGGATGTGGCAAGAAGGGAACCCTACTTCCTTTTTGGTGGGAGTGTAAACTTGTTCAACCACTTGGAAAGCAGTATGGAGGTTCCTTAAAAGATTCCTCATAGAGCTCACAAATGACCAAGCAATCCCACTTTTGGGTATTCACCTAAATAGTCAGCAACAAGACCATATTAAAATTACCAATACAATTATGTTTATTGCAGCATTATTTCCCATAGCTAAGATATGGAACCAACCAGGATGCACCTCAGTAGATGAATGGATCAAGAAAACGTTGTGAGTTTGTGTGTGTGTGTGTGTGTGTGTGTGTGTGTGTGTGTGTGTGTGTATGGGAATTCTATCGTCCATCGGAAAGAATGACATCACCCAATTTGTTACGGAATGGAAAGACTAGGAAAAATTATATTAACTAAAATAATCCAAGTCCAAAGAAACATCAGTCACGTGGTATCCCTTATTGAAAATAATTAATATATGTCGTGGATAAGCAGAAAAGGTCAAAAGCTATGTGCATGTGAATAGATAAGGTGATGTTAAGCTTAATGAACCCCAAGATAGGGACACAAGTGTTTTTTTTTTTTTCTTGCTGTTGTTTCTAAAGTATTTATAATGTACGATGTGATTTTTTTTGTTTTTTATATGGTCCTCCCACACAGAAATAAACTTTTTTTTTTGGGTCCAGTCGTGGGGCCTGAACTCTGGGCCTGAGCGCTGTCTCCCAGCTCTTCAGCTCAAGGCTAGTGCTCTACCACTTGAGCCACAGTGCCACTTCTGGCTTTTTTTTCTTATGTGGTGCTGGGAATCGAACCCAGGGCCTCTGGCATGCAAAGCAAGCGCTCTTACCACTGAGCCACCTTCCCAGCCCCCGAAATAAACATTTTTTACAGTCAACCTTGAAAAGCCATCTTGATAGACCATTTCTGTAAGTGGTAGCAGAATATTATTGATGGCTTTGCAAGGATGCCAGATTGCCTCATTTTGAGATAATTAAAACAGGAATTTAGTCAGCTGTTTTTTTTTTTTTTTATCATTAGGACAAAAACCCATTGACTCTAGTCCAGGTGATCACTGTGGCCCAGAGAAGCTAATACATTGACTAGTAATCCTAGACCTCTAAAAACAAAACAAAACAAACAAGTAAAACTCTCCGGTAAGCAAGGCCAGTCAAGGCTCCTACAACAGCCTACATGAAGTCAGGCAAAATACTGAAGCTGGGAGTCATTTAGCTGACAACTAGTATGTTTTTTATGAGGCAGACTGAAATAAAAGATTCCTGAGAGAGGGTAGGAAAGACTGATCAGAAGGACTAAAATTGGTCACACAAAGCTTGGAAAATAGAATTCCTTATAAAACAAATAAATCATAGAAAGCCTGTGCACGTGAGAACAACACAGAAGACCAATTCCAGAAATGCACATTTTCTTAGAGGTCACCTTAATGAATTATCAATTGAAATTTTTGAAATCTTAAATATTTGACCCAAGTGGAAGAAGGACAATTGCTCAAGAGAAAGAAAAATTCATCACTCTGTTAGGAGGTCCAATGTCACATTAAGAAGTAATCAAGCACAGATTTGTAATAAAAAGAGAAAACAATTATTCGAAATGAGGGTTTCATTTGTTTTGATGTAAATGTTTTTGATTTAGGTGCTAGCGATTACCATACAATTGATCCAGTCCCACAGTTGAGTTGACATTGACTGCAGTATTCCCACATATAGGGAAAGAGAAAATTTACAAATGTCAGATCAAATGAGTTGAGGATGAAGTGTTTTAATAGTAATATATGAGGTTTAGACACAGGTGAAGAGGTGGATTTTCTTTTATAAAAATCCCCCATTTTTAGCCTGGTGACAATGGCTCACAGCTGTAATCTTAGCTACTCAGGAAGCTAAGATCTGAGGACTGCTGTTCAAAGCCAACTTGGGCAGGAAAGTCCCTGAGACTCATCTCCATTTAACCACCAGAAAACCAGAAGTGACAATGTGGTTCAAAAGGTAGAGCATTCACCTTGAGTTGAAGAGCTCAGGGACAGTGCCCAAGCCCAGACTTCAAGCCCCTCGACCACCACCACCAACAACAAAAAGTCTCCCTTTTCTTGGACTGCCTACAGCTTTTCCTAACATTCAACAAAGAAGACATTTTATTACCCACTACAGGTAAGTCCTATTCTAGCTGTTGCAAATAGAAAGATTTTGTATCTTATGTCAAAAGGTTCATATTTGGGGAAACAAATACAAGCAGTGGTAACTTTTTTCCAGTCCTTGAACTCGGGACCTGGGCCCTGAACATTGTTACACTGGTAGCTTTAATGTGAGCTTGTTTGTTATTTATTGGATTACTGTCCATGACAGGAATTACTGGGTCATAAGGGAGATCTGTTTAGTCTTTCACATAAAGTCTGTACTGCACTTCGGAATGGTTGAACAAATTTAATTTCCCACCAACAGTGTAATAGAGTTCCCATTTGGCTACATCCACCTTAGCATTTGCTATTGTCAGTATTCTTGATAATGGCAATTCAAACTGGAGGAAGAATTTCTCTTGTAGATTTGTAGGTACCTTCTAGCTACCATGAATGAATGAATATATGAAACCTATATTGCTCGAGTGTGCATTCCTTTCTCTTAGTATAATGTTCCCAAGCCTTTGATATTCCTTAAGACTGGTGGACAGTCATCCTTTCTGATGGGTGAATAAAATTCCAGTGTGTGTGTGTGTGTGTGTGTGTGTGTGTGTGTGTGTGTGTGTAAGATGACTATAGGCCTATGAGTTAATTTCTAAGTCTTCCTTTCAATTGTAATTTTGTAATTCAATAATAAATTTGGATTGCTTTCTTTATTACATTGAAGAATATTGTAGGGATGTTGATGGGTATTGCATTGCCAATTGTTTGGGGGCAGTATTGCAGTTTTCACAATGTTAATTCTTCCAACCAGGAGCATTGAAAGACTTTGCATTTCCTTGAATCTCCTTCAATTTCGCTTTTGGGCCTTTAAAGTTTTCACAATAGAGGTCCTTTACATTTTTGTTAAATTAATTAATTCCTAGTTTTATTGTTGTTTTGTTTTGCTTAGACTTGATTTGATTTTGAGGCTAATATATATGAGGTTGTTTTTTGGATTTCAGCCTGGATCTTCCCATAGTTGGTAACACAGGAAAACTATTGATTCTTGTAGGTTTTATACCCTGCTACATTGCTGAAGATTAGCATCACTTTTACTAACTTTTTTTGGGGGGAAGCTATAGGGTCCTTTATATAAAGTATCATTTCATCTGTGAAAGGAGATAGTTTTACTCCTTTCATATTTGGATACCTTTTATATTTTTCTCTTACCTATTGTCCTTGCTAGAAAGTCCACTACTATATTGAAGAGTAGTAGAAAGAGTGGACATCCTTTTCTCATTCCTGATTTTAATGTCTTCATGCCTCCATCGTTAGGTACATGCTTACTTTCTCTTTGTCGTATACATACTCTGTATTATATTGAGAAAGTTCCATGCGTTCCTAGCTTCTCAGACCTTTCAATCATAAAGGGGTATTGGAGTTTGTTAAAAGCTATTTCTACATCCATATAAACAATCATGTGGTTCTTGTCCTTGCTTATGCTGATGGTGTGTGTTATGTTTATTGACAAGTATATTGAATCCAGCTGTATCCTAGGATGAATACTGTTTGATCATAGCATGTTTTTTTTGTTAATTGTTGAAGTTAGTTGGTGAGAATTGTATTGAGAAGTTATGCATCAATGCTTATCAAAGAGCTGGGTTCATAGTTCTCTTTCTTTGGTGAGTCCCTAGCTGATTTGGGGAAGAGTCTAATTCTAGCTTCATAGATTATGTTTGATAATTCCATTTCCCTTTCTATTCCATTGAAGAGTTAGACCTGAGTATTGTAAGTTCTTTGCAGGCCTTAATTTCATGGTAAATCTATTGAGTCCTAGATTTTTCTGTTATGAGAAATTGTTTATTGACATTTCATTTTCATTACTTCTTATGTATCACTTCTTGGTTCAGTTCGAGTATAAGAAAGCATCAATTACTCCAGGATTCTCCAGGTGAATGGTATATGGTTTTCAAAGTACTCTCTTATAACATTCACAATTTTGCTAATTTATGTTATGATGTCTCATTTTTTCTCTAATTTTATCTATTTCAGTGAATTCTCTTAGGAGCTCTTAGGAGCTGTGCCTCATCTACTCTTAATATATTTACCTACTTCTGATCTTATATAACCAGTTCATGTTCTTCTTGATCTTCTCTCTGTAGGATATATTTGATTAACTTCTATCCTGCTGATGTGGTGGAGAGTTTGGCTTGGGACCATATTCACTGTTGGTAGTTGTTTGCCTTTAATGTTTGTTATATATCATGCCAGGCTCTTCATTTTATCATATCAACTAAGAAATTTGTGTTTATTCTGACTGTATATACTTTATAAATAATCAATCTTTTCTCTATGGCAACTTTAAGAATCGTTTCCTTGATGATTAATGATCCTCTAATGGATTATAATGTGGTGGTGGGTTGTTCTCTTCTAGAGTTCTGTGTTTGTTCTTAAGGCTTCTCTTCTCTGACTGTGCCTATCTCTTTGGATGTTTGGAATGTTCTCTGCTAGAATTCTGTAATAGGTTTCCCATCCATTTAGTTTCCTGCTCTTCTCCTTCTTGAGACCAATCTCCCCCAAATTTGATCTTCTAACTGAGTCGTGAAGTTCTGGCAAGATCATTTCTTATTTCTTGGATTTGTTCTAAATGATTATTTCCTCTTTCCTATTAGACCTACTTGGTCTTTGACCCCTGAGATTGTCTTCTATATCATCTATTTGCTGTGAAGACTTTATACTTTGTTTTTGATTTCCCTGTTTTATAATTGGTCATTTTTTAGGGCTTCTATCTCTTTATAAAGCTTTGTTTTAGGTCTTGTATTGACTTTCTTTACATATTTTCTTTGGGTGAGTGGGTTGGTGGGTTGTTTATTTAGCTGTGTCTTCTCTCATATCTTTTAACTAGGCATCCATTTTTTCCTTGGACTCCCTTGCCTTTTCAGAATTTATTTTTCTGTTTGTAGTCTCCATGAGTTATTGTGCTAATCTTTGGTTGTTTGCATCTTGTTCAATAAATTTCTTTGTAGAGGTTTTGTATCTTTCCATTAATCACATTTAAAGCAGTAAATGTAAAGTATTTTGAAAACTATCTTCTAGGTCCCTAATTGTCTGTTCTAATGCCTGGTTATTTACTGTGTGAATTATACTACCTTGACATCACTTTTCTTGTATTTTTCTGATTTGCTCTGTTCACTTAGAGGATTTCTTTTGGGGGCTATATAATCTTAATAGGTGACTCTTTATGTTCTTGGTTGATTTGCCATTTGTTGGTTGGATCTTCTGTTGTGATTTGTTTTTGTGGAATTAGGTTTTTGTCTAGACCATTAAGTGTAGGACTAGAAATCTATTGTGGTGAGATGTAGTGATGTTAATACTAGCGGTACCAGTGACAGTTTGGGCTGCCCAATGGTATCTTGAATTGTCTCTGAGTATGGATGTGGCTGTCTCCGATGTACACTTCTGTTCCTGCTTTTGTTTCCCATGTGGAATTTTTATTTCCACACTACAGCTGTGCCTTTAAATATGTTGGCCAACACAGTCACAGCATTCACCTGCCTGGCTGGACACCTTTTCATATATTTCTGTTTTCTTATGAAGACAGTATTAAATCTTCTTTTGAATTGTATATCTATAAATAGTTATAACTGAATGGGTGTGACTTTTTAGAAGTGGAGTACCTGCTAGGACTCTAATTCTCTGTTTCATTAGAGAGCTAGGGGAATTTTATGTTGTTATTTTGCCATTGTTTT